TGACCTGGTTTTTTTATAGCAGCTGTTTTAGAAGTTTCTGGAAATGAGAGAGTATTTTTTAAATCTTTTCATTTCCAGAAACTTTTTGTAGGTTTTCTGTAATTTAGTATTGTACAGCACTGCTTAATTGGCTTAGTCTTTCCACAACTCTTAAAACTACGAATTCGGGGCAGCCGAAGTGTCATTTGGCTTCACTGCTCCGCAACTCTCTTTCTTACTTTTTGTTTCAAAGTCATTTCATTGTTTCTAGCTTTTTGAAAGTTATTTTTTTTTTCTCTAACTCGTTGTCTTCTTCATTTTACGTTCTCGAGCTTTTTTACTGATGAGCTTGAGAAAATGTAACGAAAAGCAGGTTGTCATGTTGATAGTATTAATACTACAATTACAGCTGCTGTTATTTATATTTTTTTCTCACTGGAGATCTGCATTTGTGTTTTAATATATGTTGTGTGTGCCAAGCGATATAATTCGATGGGAATATTTCATTTACTTGTTGCCTATCACTGTTTAGAGATATTAGCACACGCAAGATACTTGGTTTTTGTTCTCTTAGACGATATTTTGTTTCTGAAATTTAGTAGATTTATAAGAGTAGTTTTACTGGCAAAACTGTGGCATATCTTATTTGGTAGTCAATTTGATGACATTGGTTGGCTTTTGGTTAACAGCAGTGGCAATACCTTTCAACGGTGGCGGTACTTAAATACAACAGTAATGGTTGGCAATATTCGACATTTCTTATCTTTTTTTTCTTTTTAAAGTCATCATCTTGAGTTCATTTATTATATTTATTTGTATACGTGTTTTTATGCGTCTTTTGTTCGGAGTAACTTGGTATAAAAAAAGAAAAGGTTAGAGTGAGCAACAAAAGAGGAGCAGGCAGAAGGCCAGTTAGTCGAAAGTCTGAACTTCATAAGAGCAGATTTTTTGGAACTTCGTAGAACATCTACTCATGAACGCCGTATTCATAGTTTTATGGTGCATCTAGTAGCTACTCGTTAATTATGCCGAACAGGAAGTGATGATGGACTTTGAAGATACTTCACTTTCTTAAATAAATAGAATTTTACTGTAATAATTTTTTAGTTTTGTTTGTTGTTGCTGTAACTGCTGCTGTTGTTATTGCAGCTGGGATTGATGATGGCTTTGATTAGGCTCTTGAAAGTAATTTTTACTCGTATAGACAGGTTGAACAGGCAGTTAAGGGTAGGAAAAAAGGATTTAGTTGGACAAGAGACTTTGTCGTTAATGATAGAAATCTGTTGGTTGTTTGGTCACAAAAAAAATCGAATTATTTTTTCACTGTTTCTGTTATTTCCCACCTTTTTTCTTCATCTTCGTTAGGAACACCGTCTTTGCCGTTGTTTTCTTCTTTGCCTTCACTTTCTTCTTTTCTTTCTCTTTTCAACTACTGCTGTGCTTGAATATTGGAATCGGAACGTCAAAAGAATAAAAAAAAGGGAAAGATAAAAATCAGACGATGAAGGTTAGAAATAAAAAAGAGGAAAGAAGCCTTCAACACAAATAATAACTCGTCGAGGTGGAACAACTGCGCTTTTTTTAGAAGATGACGGAAGAAACATTGAATACTTGGTTTCAAGGGGTAGTTATATGCGAAAATATTATATGCTAGTCTTATTATTTTACTACTATAATAAGTTGCCGTTTTTCATTTTTTATTACTGTTGTTATTGCCGTAATACTGAAGAAGAACTGAGGAAGAAAAAGTCTCTTATAAGCATTTTTTCTTACTTCCTTTCATATTTTCTGGTTTATTACGTCATTTAGGTTGGTTTTTGCTTGCATTGTTGCTCTTTCGTTTACATTGCTTTCTGCAATGTTTGGTGCATTAGGTGCGGCCACCGTCGTAGCTGTCTTTCCATGCTGTTACATGCATCAGGACTCAGGACCGGCATGAAGTTAAAAGAAGCAGAATGCTTTTTATAGTTGGGAATTGATTGCAAAAGAAAGAAAGGGAGGTATACAAATTGGTAACAGCAGCAGGAGCAACGCTGCTCTTGTTACTATGGCCGACAGCGGCAGCAACGATAATAGCGACAATAACATTTGCGCACCCAATAGTTGGGGCTGCTGACTGTTGTCGTTGGATATTGGTGCTTATTTTGGTGATCGAAAAGTCACAGTTGAAAAGTAGCTCACTGAATAGTGAATGACCAGTTGCTGTGATCAGTTTCTCTTTCTGCTCTGTTTTGTATATTGTAATCGTTACTAGTTTAATCATCAGTTCGTTTCCAATATCTTGACTGATTAGACAACTTTTTTGAGGACTGATGAACGGGAATTTCTGTACTGAAACGGTAACAGTAGGCTTTTTTTTGCATGTTTGGATTTGATGGAAAATACATCAAACAACGAAGGTGTGTAGTAGCGTCCTTCTGATGGGTTATTTTTTGAAAATTTGATTTATTTGAAGCAGCAGGAAAAAGCTTATTTCTCTGGTAACATATGCTGTGTATTTATTTATTTTTTGTGCTTCTGCCACTGTTATTGGTACTTTCTGACACTTTCATTGATTTTACAGAAACAAATCGTTTTTTTTTTTTTTTTTTTTTTTTTTTTTTTTT